GGCCTTCCATCAGCCTCCCTGGAGGCCGGCCCTGGGAGGCTGGGAAGAAGGGAGGGTGCTCAGCTTCTGATGGGAAGAAAGGGGGATAAGACCATTCCTCCCACCACCTACCTGTGCTCAGAATCACAGAGCTTTCCCAGAATGTCAGGGTCTGATGGCAGGCTAACATTTTTGAACTATAGGTATAAAATTTGATAGATCATTTCTGCTAAGTCCCCAAAAAAGATCAAGAAGGTCTGAGCAATTCAGCAGCCTCCTGCCTCCAAAGTTCCCACTTAGCAGGGTAGAGTCTGCATCTGCATTGAGGCCCCCTACTTGCACTGGGCTCCTCGAAGCCCGGGAAGGTCTCCCACAGCCCAGGACAGAGGCGGCTGGACAGCAGAAGAGGCATGTGGAGAGAACAGTTTTACCAAAAGACCTCATTAGAAGGCAACATTTTCATATTTACTCCGCACACAGTTGCACTAAACTTCACAGCTGCTGCTTAACATTTTTCTGACAAGGACACGTTAAACAAAAATATATGCTGGGAGGGCAGGGTGCATAGCAGATAGCTTTTAATCATATTTAAATCAAATTTACCTAAACCTTGCAAATTTTAACTCTTCTTGTGCTACAGCTGACAAGCATCATCACATGATTCACAGATGCAGCTGTTTTATTTTTTAAAAGGGAAAGTCTTCTTTAGCATGAAAACAACACATGCTGGAAAAAGTAAGCCCAGCTTCTGCACATCAGTCAAGCCTACAGACCAGTCTGAAGTGAAGGATGCAGCTTTGGGAAGTCATCCTCTTACCGGGATTTGTTTCCTTCGGTTCTTTCACTGCTCACCTCCGATGCTGCTGTAACGAACAAGCAAAAAAGCAGAATCGTGACAGCCACCTGACACCTGCGGCCACCAGGAACATTGGGGTCCAGGCAGGACTTTTCACTCACTCAGCTCCTGGCCAGAGGAGAATGGGCCTTACCTGCCATTATTTGACCTGACCAAAGGCGAGACTAACCCTGAAGAAGTCCTGCTCCTGAGCTATAGAACTAGATGAGATGAATGATTAATAATTCACTGGAACTTGAAGCGGATGGTAAGTGTGAGGTCAGAGTGAATAAAAGAAAGAAACACTAAACAAAAAGGCCACGTTTCATTCATCAGAAAGCTCAGAGATGGGATGTTTTGCTCAACTGTTGAGAATCAGAGCCTCTGTTTCCATTCATGAGTTTTGGATGAAAAGAAACCAGGCTTGGATGCCAAAAATTTCCAGGGGATGCTTGCAGAGAAAAGGCTCTCTGGAGCCCGGTCACCCTGGTTCCTGCATGTGGCCTGAGAAGCCAGTTGATTCCGAGGAGCCTATCGACACATTCTTCCATCATATTAGTTCCATTCCTAGGAAACTTCCTTGTGTTTTTCAAAACAGTTTACTATTACAGGTGTCATTACCCAACTAATGCCATTCACTGATTCTTCTACCCATGTGTCCTTCATTCAACAAACACTGATGAAGCTACTCTCTGTGCCAAGCTCTGTACTAAAACCTGGAGCATCTCGGGACAGGCTTGTGTTCTGTTTTAAATGCCTGTGTGCACTGGTGAGCTCCACACAGTCATCTCCAGCCCACACTTCTCCCCAGAACTCAGAATTCACAGAGCCAAGACCACACTTAGCATCTCTCCTAGAAATCTCATGCCATCCAAGAGGCATCTGATTGGACCTTGTCCAGATCCAGACTTCAAACCCATTCCTCCCACAGCCTTGTCCATCTCTATTGAGGCACCTCCATTCTTTCTGCTACCTGCATTTTTCTTGGAGTCATCCATGCTTTCAGCATGGATCAGTTAGAGTCTGTTTGGGAACTAAAAACAAGAGCTGTGTTCTTGTTCTTATTTTCACAGGGTCATGTGGCATGAGGGATCTTAGTTCCCAGACCAGGGATAGAACCCACGCCCCCTGCAATGGAAGCACAATCCTAACCACTGGACCACCAGGGAAGTCCCATCAGTTATTTTAACAGAATTTAATACAAATCACTGCTAACCAGGTACTGGGGAACTGACAAGGCAGATGGTAGAAGAGGTCAGTGTAGGAAGCAGCCACCCACCCTGAGCTGAGGGCACAGAGAGACGTGCTGGGTTCATCGGAACCCACAGTCTGTGAGGAGGGGCACAGAGAGCTGGGCCTCTGAGGCGGGAGCCATAGCCAGCAGACGCAGTGACCTCTGAGGGGCCCAGTGAAGTTGGCTCTGGGACCATGAGGGAAAGAGAGAAATGAACCAGCTACCACCGCCGTGTCATTGATGTGAATGGACTCCTCCCCTCCCGCCCCAGCCTTCTAGCAGCCTCTGGCACCCGCTACCAGCAGAGCGGAGCATGGACCGCGCTGGCAAAGCTGAAGGGCAGTCTGCAGGGAAACACCGACTTAAGAATCAGCACAGTCTTTGGCTCCTTGGCCTCTATCACCTGAACACAAAACTTCTCTCTCTCATACCCCACCTCCAGCTCTCAGCTCTACCTGTCAAAAATCTCCATGCAGCGTCTCTTCACTGCACTCCCACTCTTCTGGTCTGAGCTCTGCTGGGTCTCATCTAGATCATCACAATAGCCTCCCAAGGGGATTCTTTCACTTTCTCCAGAGTCAGTTCTCCGCACAGAAGCCATCATGGTTGTATTGGTTAGCTAGGGCTGCTGAAACAAACTGCTACAAGCTTGGTGTGTTGAAACAATAGAAATTTATTGTCTCAACAGTTTGGGAGGCCAGAACTCTGAAATCAAGGTGTCAGTGGGGTCCCTTAATTCTGCAGACTCTTGAGGGAGAATGTGGATGCCACATACCTCTCTCCTAGATCCTGGTGGTTGCTGGCCACCCTCGGTATCCTTTGGTCTAATAGACGCATCACCCCAATCTCTGCTTCTGTCTTCTCACTGCCTTCTCCATGTCTCTGGATGCTTCTGTGTCTAATCCTCCTCTTACTACACTTGATCTTAGCCAAAAGGCCGAGAAGTGATAATAATCCTCCTCTTATAAGGACATCAGCGCTGGATTTGGGGCCTGTCCTAAGTCCAGCCTGACATCATCTCAAGATCATTTACTACATTTACAAAGATTCTATTCCCTACTATGTTCTCACTCACTGATACAGGGGTTAAGACTTCAACCCATTACACTGACTGTATTAAAACAAATCAGATCTGGTCACCCCTCTGCTCAAATCCTCTAATGTTCCATCCTACCCTGAGTAAGAACTCCACTCCTACACGACCTGGGTGCTCCACTGCTCTATTTCCGCTCTGACTGCTCTCACCTTCTTCCCCCCATAGAAGCTCCTCTGTTCCTCAGCCTTCAATAGTTTTCATCTGTAGAGATTTAATTTGTATTTTTTAAATAACTTGCATGCTCCTATTTACCTTAAACATGTGTAATACCGTTATAATAGCTGTTCTTATGCCCCTTGCCTACCAATTCTAACATCTGTGTGAGTTCTAGTTGGATTCTGATTGATGTTTCTCCTTATTATGGTCATATTTTCCTGTTTATTTGCATACCTGATTTTTTTTATTGGATGCCAGTCATTAGGCATTTTTCTTGTTGGCTTTTGGGTATTTTTGTGTTGTAAATATTTTTTGGCTTCTTTCCTGGGATCATTTAATTTACTAGGAAATAGTTTCTTTCTCACCTTGTTTTTAAGGGTTTTTGGGGTTTTTTGGGTGGGAGCAGACCAGTCTTTAGTCCAAAGCTAATTATTTCTTACTACTGAAGCAATATACTTCTGAGTATTCTACCCTATGTTTCAAGAATTGTGAAGGTTTCCAGTCTGAGAGGTGGGAAGCGGCATTATTCCTGACCCTGTATAAACACTAGGTATTGTTCTTCACGCACATGCATTGATCAGTGCTCTGTGAAATACTTACATGGGAGCCTCCGCAGATCTCTGGAATTCTCTCTCTCTCTGTAGCTCTTTCTTCTCTAGTACTCTGTTTATGAACTCTAGCTATCTTTTCCTTAGACTCTCAGCTCAACATCCCAGTTCAGGTAGTCCACCAGGTTACACGCGGATTTCCTTCTTTACACTATAGCCTATAAACGAAGTAAGTCAGGGAGATTGTAAGGTGTATTTCATTTGTTTCCCATTTCTTTTTTTTTTTGGGGGGGGGGTCTAATTTTTATTTGCTGGATACAAGGTGTGCTTTTAGCCTGGATTAGAGACCATAGATTCACAGCCTGTGTATTTTTTCATAGTCAACTAGATTCAACATTTAGCCGGAATCTAGTCATAGCAGAATCTAGTCAAATTCAGAACTTTGAATTTTCTTTCAGGAAGTCTGAGCCTTATTTCTCCTTCTGGATACTTACTTCTCTTTCTGCTTTTAAATGATTCCGTTCATTAATGATTAATTCCTTCTTTCTTTCTTCTAGCATCAGACCTTGTTTCTCACTTTCGGCATGGAGTTTTCTCACGATCTGCTGAAATTGGTCTTGGATGCCAGTGACTGTCTTCTCTCTACTGTCGGCTTTGTCTTGTGCATCATCCAGTTGCTGTCGGAGCAACATGTTTTCACTCTGGAGTTGAGATAATCTCTCCTCTAAGGATTCCTGCTTTCCAAGGTATTCATTCACTTTGCAGTGTTCATTCTGATACATGTGTTCAGTTTCCTGCTTTTGACACTCTGCTTGGTGAAGGTCTCTCTGGACACGTTCTAATGTCAAAAAGTCTTTTCTCTTAAGATCATCTCTTGTGTGCTGCAGTTTGATTTTTAGCTTATTGAATTTACCCTCCACTGTAGAAAGTTGCTGGGAAAGTGCCTTGCTGTTATCTTTTAGGTTCGCCACATCAGACTCCATTTGGTCCTGCAAGCATAACCACTCGTCTTGTGCTCTCTGGAAGGCAAGTTCCAGGTCTCTTGGTGATGTCTGACCTCGATCAGGATCGTGTGAGGCAGCAGCCAGTTTAGAACAGTAGGATTTCACTTCTGTTTCCAGTCTTTGTTTGCTTGCTTTTTTGTTCTCCAGCTTAGACTAGCATCATATTCTCAGCTGCCAGAACATTAGGCTGGCCTGTATCCTGGGATATAGTCTTTGTTAACATTTCCTCAGTCAGTTTTACCGCCTTTTGAGCATCATCACTCTTTGCTTTGACAATTTCAATGTCCTCAAAATAGTTCTCTTCCTTTTCCAGGTTCTGACTTTTCACTGCATCTATTTCCAGTCTTAGGCTGGCAATTTCTTCCTGCAGAATGTGGTTTTTGTACAACAGGTCTTTTGCTTTTTCATGACCAGCAGAAGCCTGATTCCAGTTGTTTCTCACAGTCTTCAGTTCCATTTCGAGTGCTCGGAGACTGAATTCTAATTGCTGTTTCATTTCAATTTCTTTACTATGTTTGTCTTCTATTCTTCTTAACTGCTCCCTAATTTTTTCATATGACATATTAGCATTTCTTCTCTTCTCTTCTTCTTGCTTTAAGGCGAATCTCAAGCTGCTGAGCTCTCGTTCCCACTCTACTTTCTGATGCTCTAACTGTGATTTTACTTCTGTGGTTTCTGACAGCTCGTTTTGTAGCCCATGAACCTTACTTTTCATTTTGTAAATTTTTCCTCTAAGTAGTTCACAGTGACTTCTTTGAAAATCTACTAATCTTTCATAGGAAAAAAAATGCATCCCGAATTTTCAACAAGCTACCAAAATCTGTCATCACTCTGAGCCACTTCCTTCAAAATGCTGTCATCATTCACGTGCAGCAGACCACCGGTCAGCGAATCGGTCTTTTCAAATATTGGTGCAATCACACATCCTCCTGGTGTCCATTTGCCATTGTTCTTTTTCTTTACGTCCTTCCTGTGCACACCAGGATCGCTACTATAAGAAACTTCATTCTGCATAGCAGGAAACTCCTGATTGCTGTTTCCTCCACTCCTTCTCTGCTGAATCAGTCCACTCTCTTCGGCAGCATCGCATACATTGTCTGATACTTCCACTTCACTACTTTTGTGCTTCTTTTCTTCTTCAACCTGTGAATGGTTATTTTCATCTTCATCAAGTTTATCTTGTTCTTCCTCTGTTATCATTTCCAAGTCTAGTTCTCTTGACAGATCTTGGTCAAGTAAGTCTCCACGCTGTCATTTGAACGGTGTGGAATTGAGGTAGAAAATCCTACGTTTGCTCTTGAAATAAGATTTGCATTGAGTCCTGAAGTAGGATTGAAATTTCCAACAGAAGAGGGCTCCGGGACTGGCGTGCTGCTAGGAGTGCTGAGTAAAGATCTGTTCTGCTGCTTCTCCACCTCAAGTTTGGTGCTCATCTCTGCCAGCCTTTCATTAGCCCCCAGTGCGCAGGGCGCGCTCTCCTGTTTCCCATTTCTTAGGAATCATTGTCCTTTGTTGCTTGACATTCAGTGTCTTGAGAATCACTGTTTCATATATTTGTCCCCTTTTTTTGCTGGTGATGTTGGTCGTATCAGTAAATATGGTCCCTGTTACTCTGTCTTAGCCAAAAGTGGAAGCTTCTATCATCTCTTTAAGATTTTCAACTGCTGTCATATCTTTTCTCATTCTCAATAAATATTCACTTTCCTACTTTATTTTTTAATTGTCATTTTGTATTCTTTTTCTTAAAGAGGGCCCCATACTCAGGTTCTTGAGGTACACCACCTGGGTTGGAATTCTGCCTCCACCACTGATTACCATTGTGACCTTGACAAGCCTGTGTACTTAAGTTTCTTCATCTATAAAACTAGGATGATAAAAAAGTTTCTTCATCTATAAGACCAGGATGTTAACAGAACCTGCTTCAGAGTGTTGAGTACTGCAAAAGTTATCACATAAAACATTTAGAAAGAAACCTAGAACACAGAAGCCACTCTACACATGTTAGTTATTACACTTAATTTTAATATTAATATTACAGTATATAGGTGGTGTTATAATTTATGGAATAGCTATAGAGAGTGTGATGGCTTAGGCTGGAATATAATATAATATTTGAGATCAGAGGAAGAGTAGGTCACAAAAGAAATAGCACAATGGCCAGAGTGTGGGATAACCAAAATAATACACTGTAGTGTCCTAGGAAAAAAGTAGGGCAAAGTTCAAAAAGAGGAAGAGGTGAATATGGTCTAAGCCACTAGAAATCAAGATAAAGACTTAAACACGACCCCTGGTTTGGTGACATAGCAGTCATAACTAATATTGTAAATGAGGATATGAACGGGACCTGCCACATATGGTGGGCTTCCGTGGTGGCTCAGATGGTAAAGAATTCGCCCACAATGCAGAAGACCTGGGTTCAATCCCTGGGTTTGCAAGATCCCTTTGGAGAAGGCAATGGCTACCCACTCCAATATTTTGGCCTAGAGAATTCCATGGACAAGGAGCCTGGTAGGCTACAGTCCATGGGGTCTCAGAGAGTCAGACACGAATGAGCAACTTTCACTTTGCCATATATGGTAACAATCAGCATTAAATGAGAATTTATCTAACACCTTAGCACAGTACTTAGCATATATTAGGCATTCAAAAAATGTAAGTTATTTAACACAACATTGTATAGCAACCACAACAAAAAATTTTAAAAATATATAAACTGATACAGAAAACCACATGCAAGATTTTTATATAGGAAACCAAAATGCAGAATTCTGTGTGTTTATATACAGGTGACCCTCGAGTAACATGGATTTGATCTGTGAAATACTTTTTTTTAAGTTATTTTATTACTATAATTAGCAATATTATGTTTACTTTTTGCATCACTGGATCCAGGCCATGTCTCACTCTATTTATAAATGTTAGGGCAGTTTCAGATTCTGTTTCCACTCTCCTTTGTTCATTATCACCCATACCTCAAAGTATGACACTAGGGTACTTTCTCTCTCTCTCACTCTCTCTCTCTCTCTCTCTCTCTCTCTCTCTCTCTCACACACACACACACACACACACACACACAGACTGTCCTACAAAAAAGCCTTGCTTTTGTCCAAGGGCAGTCATTTCACCCTACCCTTCTCCCTATCTTATTAAGTAGTGTAAACGTCATCAATGGTTAGCACTCTCTGGATTCAAAAACCAAGGCCAATTCTGGTTCAATCCTGAGTCTCATGCCCACATCCTGTTGGAGCTATAAAAGATACTTTGGGCCCCTCTGACTTTTTGTATGAGAAGTAGAGCTCATTCTCCATCAAGATCCCCTCCACATAAAGAGAATGGATTCTCAGCATCCAAAGACCAGTGGCCACAGTGCCTATACCCAGGCAATTCCAGGGGTCCAGAAAATACCCACCAAACCACAAAATTACATGGTTCTAGCAGATCAAACTGGAGAAGGCAATGGCACCCCATTCCAGTACTCTTGCCTGGAAAATCCCATGAATGGAGGAGCCTGGTAGGCTGCAGTCCACGAGGTCGCTAAGAGTCAGACATGACCGAGCAACTTCACTTTCACATTTCACTTTCATGCCTTGGAGAAGGAAATGGCAACCCACTCCAGTGTTCTTGCCTGGAGAATCCCAGGGACGGGGGAGCCTGGTGGGCTGCCATCTATGGGGTCGCACAGAGTCGGACACAACTGAAGCGACTTAGCAGCAGCAGATCAAATATCTTGAATTACATTTCTAAACTTTTTTTTTTTTAATTTGGGGAGGCAACACATCTGTTCAGTCCTTTGTTTGTAAGCTCTTACGGATTCCAAGTGAAAAACTGGTCCTGTGGTTCTGATTCACTGCTGTATGAGTCACATTAGTGCCATTTGTAAAGGTCTGTGTGAAGTCCCAAATTACATCTTTCAAGATGAGAAGTATAACTTGTATCAAAAGGCAACTGATTTAAACCCTAAACACACCTGTGTTTAAAGATGCACCTGTGCTACCTGGGCTTCTCTGAATCTCGTACCATGACTCATTCAAGATGACTAAGTGCTTCAATACTTGAAAGTTTAATTATTTGATCAAAAAATTTTAGAATTTTAGTAGTATGAGACAAAAATCTTCTTAAGAAATATATTCCAACTTCCTAAACAAGATGTAGTTGTCACCAAATTGCAAGTCTGTGTGCCCAACACACAGTGACGCCAAACAATACCAAAACATCAGAGTATGGGACAAAGAAAGATTTGTTGCAGGGCCATGCAAGGAGACAGGTGGCTTATGACTTGAAAAACCCTGAACTCCCCAAAAGCTGTCAGCAAAGACCTTTCATAGGAAAGGTGAGGGAGGGTCGTGTCATGGTTAGTTGTTGCAAACTTCTCAGTATCAGGTCATGGTCAGGTCACAATCTTCCTGTAAATCTCTACCAAATTAATGCGACTTTCTGCTCTGACTAGAAAGGGCAAGGTTCCCCTCTAAGTCCAGGTCCTGACTTAGAGGAGGCAGATCTCAATCGACAGCTCCCTCAGGGCCAGAACCCCAGACCCTGCCCAGCTGTCATCACTGAGGCAGCCAGGCACCCAGGACCTAACTGGCCCTGAGACTCCTCAGGCCGCCCAAACGGTGGTGCAGGGTGGGTAGCAGGTCCCACAGACTGTGACCCAGGCAGATGGTCCAATATGTTGCAGAGACAGGGATGCAGAAGAGGTTCACCGCTGACTCAACACCCGGACCTGGCCAGTGGGTGGCCCTGAGGAGGGCTCCTGAGCCCTGCAGGGCACAGCCCCCAGCCTGTTCCCTGGGCTCCTCAAGCTCACCTGTTGGCCCAAGGCCAGGTGAGCTGGAGGCCCCAGGGAGAAGGCCAGGATCTGCCTCATAACTCATTCTCCACCTGACAACCACCACTCCCCCTACCATTGGCTGAATCCTGCACTAATGTCACTCATTGACAGTTGGGAGCTTGTGGGAGGGGCCCACTGTACTGCCAGCCAATGGCTGAGTGGGACCTGTGGCCTAATAATAGGGTGCAGAGTAATGGCACAGAGCAATATCTACGTGCTAAGGGCTGCACTCCCCGAGCTCTGTTACATAATGAACATAATTTTACCTTCCCTTAGAGATTTAGGGTCACTCATAAAAATATCAATAAATTTAAATCCATGGCTGATTGATGTCAGTGTATGTCAAAAACCACTACAAGGAAGGAGCCAAGATGGCGGAGGAATAGGACGGGGAGACCACTTTCTCTCCTACAAATTCATCGAAAGACCATTTGAATGCTGAGCAAATTGCACAAAACAACTTCTGATCGCTAGCAGAGGACATCAGGCGCCCAGAAAAGCAGCCCATTGTCTTCGAAGGGAGGTAGGACAAAATATAAAAGATAAAAAGGGAGTCAAAAGAGCTACGGACGGAGACCCGTCCCGGGAAGGGAGTCTTAATAGAGGAAGTTTCCAATCACCAGGAAACCCTCGCACTGGCGGGACTGGGGGAAGTTTTCAGCAATCTAACTGGGAGGAAAAATTAAACAAGGCCCACAGATTACGTGCCTAAAAGCAACTCCCAGCAGAAAAGTATCCCAGACGCCCGTACCCGCTAGCAACAAGCGGGGGCGGGACGGAGAGGAGCGGGCGGCATTGCTTAGGGCCCGAACACACTGCCGGCGGTTCGCAAAACAAAGGGACTGAGAAAGTCCAGAGAAGAGCCGGCCCATCCCCGCTGGAGGTTGGAGGCAGAGGCTAGGGGAAAAGGACAAACTCAGTCCCTGAGAAGCCACCCCCTCCCACACTGCAAACAGGCCCCCGGTTCCTATCTAAAGACTTCCTGAGACCCGACTGGCGGCGCGCGCTGGGGCCGCGGAGGGAAAAAGCGCGCCGTACCCGGGGAGAGTGCGCCCAAGCCTCTGGCTGCCTGAACCGCTCAGGCCGGGGAAGGCACAAAACGCAGGCGCAACCGAATCTGCGTTTTTGTGGAGTACCCGAAAACTGGAACCGCACTCAACGCAGGGCCCGCTCCATATAGAGCAGCCGGGAGCCTGAGCAGTGTAGACGGGAGCCTGAGCAGTGTAGACGGGGAAAGCACTGACACCCGTGAGCGGGGCAAACCCACTGTGGCCGGAACACGGTGAGTGCTATCCACACAGAGCGGTATCTGTCTGCAGCGCCCCGCCCTCCCCGTAGCAGGACTGAACTGAACTAGAGAACCTAAATA